AAGTCAATATTTTTTATAGATCATTTACATTTTATAACATCTACCATTTTAAGAGTTTATTGAGTGACTGCTTTTTTCGAGAAACAAGTAATAATTCGGTAACTACTGTAATTCAGTGTCCTGGTGGACAGAAATCTTATCAATAGATTATTTACTACTTCAGAAACTGGACCGTGAACTGGCACTAGAAGATGTGAGACAGCGTCAATTACCAGCACTAGATATATTTGCCATGTCCATCAAATACTTGTTGGGTGATATGCTCACAGTTCTTAATAGAAAAGAACGTGGTATCACTTTATATAACATTTTGGTGGTTCTCACCGTACCAGCTCTGTGGACAGACCCTGCGAAACATTTCATGAGGGAAGCTGCAATAAAGGTATCTTAATTAAACAATTTCCGGTTTTTGTTCACTAGCCTGGGATTCAGGCGTTGATATTTTTTGCTTATTCATAACATACGCGCTATTTCATACTCGACCGTGTTTTGATAATGTCGATTTGCCGAACCGAAGTACATAAAAAAATCGACAGACTGGAACACATGCTGTGATATCGTTTACTTGAAGTGGAAAAATGTTTAGTGAACCTGACTATATATAGATATACTATGCTCAAATTTGATGTTAGAAAATATTGATAATTGCTACACAGTCTCTTTGTATATATAAATTAAACATGTTTTTACTTGACACAAAGTATGTTCTCTTACAATTATTAATAACCTGGCAGTTTGGTTTTTTGGGGGTTTTTTTTGTTGTTGTTTTTTAAAAAGGACCAACTTTACTTGACCTGTAATAGGGAACGCAGCTTCCCATACATAGTTTATTCATTCTTTTATTCAAATAAGACATATTCAGTAAGAATTTTATAGATTTCAATAAATTTCTGTGATTAAAATATTTTACGCAATCATGGCCATTGTATATCTCTATTAATTTCATACATGGAGAAGAAAAATTGAGAAAAATAATAACATGACTATATTTCGTTCCTTATTTTAATTTTGCATCTGCTTAATACAAAAACTGATGTTTATTTTCTTTCAGGCAGGTTGTGACTCGAAGAAGTTGATAATTGCTCTAGAACCGGAAGTAGCCTCAATTTATTGCCAGTTTCTTGATGAAGATGAAACTGTTGACGAACAATTCCTGCAGTTTCCTGTTGGAATGAGATATCTTGTTGTAGATGCTGGGGGTAAGATATATGTAACAAAATGATACATCAAGTACACGTGTACTTAATTTCAAATAACCAAATAAAATTAATGTTAAAGCTGGCTTGTTTTTTTGTTTTTTTTGTTGTTTTTTTATAGCAGTTATATTTTGCTGAATTTTTGAAACGGATGTCAAACCAAAATCTCTTCTCGTTTCCAAAAAAAAAAAAAAAACGCACAGGATCCTTAACAAAAAACAGAGCATATACATATGTTAAAACTATTTTATATGTGATTGAACTATTGTACTCACGTGTTTGAACTATATAACAGATGGTTATGATTGTGTTATTGCAGGCGGCACTGTTGATATAGCAATTCATGGAGTAGAAGAAGACTTTCATGTGAAGGAAGTGGCGTCTGCTGTCGGAGGCGACTGGGGCAGTACAATGATTGACGATGCATTTGAACAGTTTCTAAAAGAGCTTTTAGGGGAGGATATATATAACGAGTTAAAGGGCAATCACTCTGGGGACTTTCTAACTATCATGCGTGATTTTGAGAATGAAAAGTTGATAAACAACGCTGGACATCAGACGAAAAAAGATTATCAGATTGACATACAGCTACCAATGTCTGTTGCTAACATGTTGACTGAAAAATTGCAGACGACATTATTTAAACGTGCAAAAGAATCAACATTTGCACAAAATTTAACGGTGTTTAAAAATAGATTAGTGATGACGTCAGAGTTATTTGAATCATTTTATGAAGAACCTGTGAAGCAGACTATTTCATTAATTGAACAAACATTGTCAAATGGTAAGGTTGGCAAACTGAAAGCAATTTTAATGGTTGGCGGGTTTTCTCAGTCTAAAATTCTTCAAAACGCTGTGAAAGCGGCGTTTCCTAAACAACACGTGGTTGTTCCGATAGAGTCGTCTGTTTCAATCGTGAAAGGTGCAGTGGTATACGGGCACCATCCAATGTCTATTTCTGAACGTATTCTAAAATATACTTACGGTGTTGAAGTAATGAAAAAGTTTAAACCTGGAGTGCATCCGGTGAAACGAATGGTCGAAACAGAAACAGGGAAATACTGTAAAAATGTTTTTTCTAAACATGTTGAAAAGGACCAACTCGTAAAAGTTGGTGAGGCTCAAATTGATCAAAGATATACCCCAGCCGACAGCCAAAAGACGTCTGCACATTTGAAATTATTTGCGTCGTCTGTTAAGAATCCAAAATATACAGACGAACTGAGCACGTGCATAGGTGAAGTGACAATTGACCTTGACGACCATGACGGAGACCTGACAAGGGGATTATGGGTATCGTTTATATTCAGTGGACCGGAAATCGTTGTAGAGGTGTTTGATGAGAAAACAGAAAAAGTGAGGCAAGCTAAGACTGACTTTCTAGGTCCATCATTGATATGAAATTTATTTTTTGTCTGCATTCAAATAACATGTATACTGAACATCAGTAATTCCGCGTCATCACTTAATTCACGGTAATGGCATATTTTCATTTGACCGGTTTTAAACTTGGTCAGAAATGACATATTTTATTCATAAACCTAAACAACAAAGCTTTTGTGCAAAAAAAAATAAATCTCAAGATTTTTATGTAAAACAGAATAACATTTTACAAATTTCTGCCAAAAGCAACAATAGTCCGTTAATTTTGTGCATACGTCTGAAAGAATTATCATTTTCTAAATGTTCTTGTTTGTTGAAAAAATAAAATTTGAGTTACAAAGAAAGGATTATTTTAATATTTAATATCAAGCAAAATAACATGTAGAATTTTTAACTGAAGCATGAAAAACATGACATGTAACACAAGTACCGGATTTAAATGATGACATACTATTTTCAAAATTGCCGCCGTATGGTCTACGTTTGGTCCATTAAAATTAACTATGCCTGAATATATTATGAAAATTTTTGTACCATATGATTCATTCGTTGTTTTCTTTCTGGTTTCAAAGCATTAAATACCGTGAACTAAGAGGAGCACAGTATAATACATGTAATATTTTACAGGTACATTAATAAAAGCGTATTTATGCAATTGATAACTGAATGTGCCTTCTTAAAGGCGTCCTATAAAAGACAATTTTTCAATTAACTGTACATTTTCATGAAATCTAAGAAAAAAAATCATCAGGAATATAAATGAAAAGTAAGAAAAACACTTGTGTCGCTTTCTCAAAGACACAAGATATCTCATTAGAACAAGGACAAAAAATGTTTTATGATCACTTCACTTATCGTCTGCTATTCATACGTATACAGGATTGAAAGTTATATTCAGATTTTAATAAGTGTTATTTGATGTTTTAACCCATTTATATCCAATTCTTACCGATATTTGACCTTGCATAGTGACATTCTAAGAAACAACGTCATTAATTAGAGGGAAAAGATATGAGATATACCGAGAAAAGAAACTGATTAGCAGACGAGATATTGATAAGGACGACTGCAGTAAAGCTGCAACTTACTAGAACATGTATAAAAATTGCGAGTTCTGAAAAGCAAAATGTTTAATCACCTCAAATCTGGAGAGCTGGAGAATTAACTCTGTTATAATATAATGAATATAACGATAGCGAATATAAACTTCAATTGAAAACTTCAATTGAAAAATTTAAACTAACAAAGAAAAGAACAGAGTTTTGTGCTCGACGTTAAGCCCTTCTCACACAGAACACACGGCTTATACGGTTGGCCACCCGTGTAAACCGTACATACAACCGAACTTACAGTGAGTTTAAACGAGTTACACTCAGGCCATTCGAGTGTATCCGTGCAAGTCGTGTATGATTTTTAAACTTTTTAAAAAAAAAAAGGTAAGCAGTTATGTCCGTGTATGATCGTATAAACGACCGAACAAGACCGTTAGAGACCGTGTGAGACTGTATGAGACCGTATATACAACCGTATTTGAAGTCCACTGGGTCATTGGGTCAAAAATCAGGGTCACAGTGACGCTAAATGTAAAGTTATTGACAAGTCAATAAGTTGTATTTGTATCATAGTTTGGAGACCTTTCTGTTGAAAAAGTGTCAGGGTTAAATCGTATACATATACATGCACAGTGCGTTAACTGGAGTGCGGGTATTAGTTACCCGCACTGCAGAGCATGTCCATTGATTGGCTCATTTTTGCTGGGTTTACATATTGTGACGGCAGAGAAAGGGAAAGCGACAGGAATGTCATATTCAGATGTTCGTTCATTGGTTCATTTTTGCCGGGGTTTCATATTGTGACAACAGGGAACGTGCTTTTATGTTTGACTATGATACAAAAGAGAAAGAACACCAAAACACTCGACAATCTCGTGTTTCGGTGCTCTTTCTATTACAAATGGCACTTTTACAGGTTGGTGAAATAGGGGTATCCTTGTACTACAGCATTAGTTAATTAGGGAAATTTACATAAATGGTGTAATCTGATTGGTTATTTATCTCGTGGCCACGACTTAGCTATCTCGTGGCCACGACATAGTATCTCGTGGCCACGACATAGCTATCTCGTGGCCACGACTTAATAACTCGTGGCCACGACTTTCTAACTCGTGGCCTCGACTTAGCTATCTCGTGGCCACGACTAAGTAACTCGTGGCCACGACTTAGTAAATCGTGGTCACGACAAAGTATCTCGTGGCCACGAGTTAGCTATCTCGTGGCCACGACTTAGTAACTCGTGGCCACGACATAGTATCTCGTGGCCACGACTTAGCTATCTCTTGGCCACGACTTAGTAACTCGTGGCCACGACAAAGTATCTCGTAACCACGTCTTAGTAACTCGTGGCCACGACATAGTATCTATAAATAAAAACACACACCTGTCACCTTTATGCCACCGTAGTTGCCACCCTCAATTGCTAAATCTACCCACAGTACTTACTGCATCATACTAGAATGTATCCAAAGAAGAAGGTTCCCACGTACAGAAGGAATGCAAGAAGGTCCATCCAGGCCCGCCGACCACTCCAACCTTCTGACCCTGCCGAGTATGATGAGCAGGGGACCCACAAATATCTATCAGTCTTATCATGATTTCTAATTCCCTTATCCTGTCATCTGTTGCATCTGGCATTGTTTTATTTAACCAATATTCACAATATGTGTGTTCTTTGTTGAAAGTTCGAAAATTGATGAAGCCACGCCATCAGAATGGGCCAATTTATATCAAACATACACGAATATGTTATAATTCGTATGCAAATCGTGTTCAAACCTTGCTTGACCGAGTATATCTGTCTTATTTGTACATGCTCGTGCTACATTCGAGTCTAACTCGTGCCAACTAATCCCCGCTAAATACTCGTATCAATCCGTGTATAACCGAGTATACCGTATGGGAACCGTGTGGCCAACCGTGTTTTGTATGAGACGGGCTTTAGCTAAGTACATCATAAAAAGATATAGTTGGTAGGGTTTACTTACGATTGGCATACCATGAAACCAATGGTCCCAATGTTTATGGACAAAATTTGTTATTGGAATATTAATTTGCAGACAGAAAAGGGTTGTAGTAATGTTGGCAATTAATGTCGTCATTCAAAATGGCGTTCCTGATCTGATTTTCACAGTTGCATGAACTTAATTAGTTATATTACGCTGAAATAAAATAGCGCATTTACAAAATAAAAGATCAGTCGACTGGGGGTGCCATTGATTCACCTTTGATATCACTATTAACTATATTGCCAAAGACACAAGTAGTATGAAAACAATCAGTTCAGAGTTACTTGTTAACCAGTGCTATCAATACTAATTTAGTATCACTGGGAATTCTCTAAGCGTACACATTTCTCTCTCTCTTTTCTGACCTGAATTACTAAGGGATACATACATAATGTTAAAGGATCTGAAAGGAAGAAAAGATTGGCCTCCTCTGTGGTTTGAACCCAAGTGTCATGCACAGTTTCAATGCAGTTGACAGTTATTATCCAGCCTATTTGAATACTCAAAAAAGCGGAATTAATTCATCCGGGGGGGGGGGGGGTCAAACAGACACCTTGATTAAACATTAAAAGTATGTTAATTCGTTAAGTAGATTTCATTTTAAAGAAATATAAAAAATATGTTTATTTCGATGATTGAATTAATTCAAAAGCTTGCTGTTTCTTATATTCTGATCTATTCGAAGGTAAAGTCACTTACATCTAATGTGTATAGTACGTTTTATAATGTGGGGGTTGCGTTCATTAAAAGCCTCGTTTGCTTGTTGATTTTAATGATGGTAGCGTATCACATTTACAAGATATTGGATTACCTTACCAGTCCATTGTTTTCACCTTTCTCTTTAAGATGACCGGAAGTTTGTGTAAAAACTTGAAAAAAACATTTGCTCTGTCTTTAGATATATGTTTTACATGTGCTAAAAACATATATTGTATGTTGAATGCAATAAAATTATATGCGTTTGAGTTATAAAAAACAAACAAACAGTGACTGAGAATAAATGAAATCTTTAAAATTTACTTTTTTCTATCCTGTTTCATTCACAAGAACTGACAATTACTTATTACTAATTAGACGCGCTGATTTTCTTTTCTTATTACAACAACTGTCTGGGGATCTTTAATGGCTCCAAGCCACCTCTCCTTTGTCATCTTGAAGGTCAAACACAGCTTGATTAAGGCAAAAATTACACATTACGGTCAGTTTATTGACTTCATTCAAGAATTATCATAAATACGACTCCATTTCACACCTACAATCCTAACAGAAAAATGACAAAGAATCAATTGCTTTCCTACGTATGCCTTCCTTTTATATTTCTATTTCAAAACATACTATGTTACAAGTATAATTATCAAGATTTTCAAGTCACGTTGTAATATGATAGCTGTTAAGTTTAATTATCTTAAACAAATTCTTAAGTAAATATCTTCTTTCTTATTCATGCATGAAACGCTAAGAATAACTGTCATAAGGGCATAATAATAATAATTTCTTCAAATGTCTAATGTACATTTGTTGTCGTTTTCTTTATTTTGCCATTTGTTTGTATTTTAAGTTCGGTAGAACCTTGCAAAATACGCGTATACGCTTATAAATAATTTAGTGAATATTACATGCGCTTATTTTTTTATATGCTTATATGCTCATAAGTTGCTTATTTGTAAATTCCTCACATAACAGTAAAAACAAATTTATTTTGATATTTCTCTATCCTGTTCCTCAGTTGTAAAATAATTTGTACATGTATTTGGTTCATAAAGTCAATTTTATTAAAGACACATTTTGCCTTAGAAATAAATCAACTTTCTTCCTTCTTTAGAAAAGCTTAACATTAGTAAGATACTGTTTCAATAGTGACTTTAGAGCATGATAGATTCTTATCAACTGACTAAAGTAGCGCTGAATGTGAAATTATTTGTCATGAAAGTAATGTAGTTAAATGTAAACAAATTAGAATTTTGCC